AACGCCACCGCCAGGTCGACGCGCCTCTTGTCCTCCTCGTCGAAGATTCGCCCATGCTCGATGCTCTTGAAAGAACCGCCGTCGCGGACCATATCGAGGGCGACTTGCCGGGGGCCGCTTGACCACGGGGCGCTGTCCGTCTCGAAGAAGCAGGCCGTCATTCTTGCTGCGACGGCGCCTTGCGCGCTCGATTGGCACCGACGCATCTCGGCAATGGCGATCTCGTCCGCGATCTCGTTCTGCTTGGCCACGCGCTCGAGAATCTCGTTCGAGCACGGGCTCGCGACTCCATGCAGGGCAGCGACAGGCAGGGGCGCGGCCGAGGCTCGCGACGCGCGCCGGGGCATCGGCGCGGGGGGGATAAGCCTTGGGGCGGGGGAACGTCGACCTGGAATCGGCGATGCATCGTCGATGCATCGGCGACGCGCGCCCGATCGTGAATCCGCGCGTTCCTGGGCAGGTTCAGGCCATTGAACCGCTCTCTGCGATCGCAGGCGATTGGGGATCGATGCGCCCCCTGCGCGCCTACCCCCCCCCCCACACACACACACACACACACACACACACACACACACACACACACACACACACACACACACACACACACACACACACACACACACACACACACACACACACACACACACACACCCATCGCTGCCCCTCGGGCGAAGAGGCTCGGCGCCTCGAACGGGCTCGAAAAGCATGGGGTCTTGGAGTCTCGGGGAAGGTCGGGCCCGGGCAGTTGCGGGGGCAGAGGAATGGGGGGGGGGGGCATGAACCGCGCGAGGGACGCGCAAACAAAACAACTCCAATGCTCTGCCTGCTCAAAGAACGCATGTAACATCTAAATCCAATCGGTCACTGCGGCCCTGCTGCGCGTTCCTGACTCGGGAACGGCTGAGAAAAAGGAGATCCCATGGCCCCGCCGAGCGTTCGTGACTTGGGCAAACTGAACTGGCGAGGACCCCACAGCCCTGCCACGCGCTCGTGATTGCGGAAGCTGGCATGGTAAGACCACCGTGGCCATGCTCAGCGATTCTGATGACGCTGCTCGTCACCGTGCGATGATATCTACTTCGGTTCGCAACTCCCCCGTGGGTTATCACATTCGGCCTCCGCGCCCCTCTCCACAATTAAATCCGATTGAACCGGCATGAAAAAAAAGGGTGCGACAAGGGGGAGAGGCTATATTATCAGGGGCACAGGGCTAGATGCATTCATCTGGCACATCCATGCGCGCGCCGCGCTCATCGCATGAAGACGACGCATTGCCCTCGCCGTGGCGTCGCCCTTCGCAGTGCCCTTGCGTGGCGAGCGCATCTTGCCGCGATTGGGCCCCCGACTCCTGGGGCTGCCGCCCGCGGCCGGGCCAGCCCCGACATGGGCCCGTCTGCTCAAATCATAGAGGCCGTCGCAATCGCCGCCAGCTCATCTGCAATAAGACAAATATTTACAAGTGACGGCCAACGGGCGCCCAACCTGCTCGAATCCGAGCTGGAATCGCGCCGGCCCCTCGTCGGTAGCGGGGATGGCGCTCGCTTCGGTCATAGGGTCGACGCGCGCTCGACGTCGCAGTCGGAGCCATCGCGCACGCGGCCGCGTAGGGGTAAGCCAAGCCAATATTCGAATGGCGCCGCGAAAATATCGTAGGCGACATCGCGCGACGTGGTCGGTGTCTCTCGATGGCCATTGCTGCTTCTGCAAACCTGGCCATCAAGAAACAAGTCGCACGGGATGTGTAGGAAAGGTTATCCACCTCGGGGACATCTACGTATTCTAGGGCGTCGTCCTCGTGCTGTTCTGAGCCAAAATGTACGGATCCATCTCCCTTCCCCTGCCCCGTGGTGCACTGTGAATAAGAGTGCCTGTCACTGTCGTAGCTGATGCATTTCATTATCTCCCGTTGTTGTGACTGGATGTTGCTTGCGTCCCTCACCTTTTCCCAGCGGTGCGTTTACGCCCGAGCCCTTGCCCCCCTCTTTCACGGAGAAGCGGGCCTTCAAAGTCGTCGTCGGCAAGGTTAGCCAGGAACGCGGCCATCCGCTGCCCGCGTAACCTGCGCTGCTGGTCGAACTCCACTAAATGTGCCCCCCCAACCGTCGCCTCCAGCGGGGCCAAGCATAATGAAAGCCTACACGTCGACATTGTGACACTTCGTCGTCGCCAGCGGGTAGATCTGACCAGTCGGTCGAAGGCGCGCCGGTGGATGAGCAAGCGTCGGCGTCGGTTCCTGAATCGCAGGGCGAGCCGTGGCGCTGGCCTGACGAGCCCCAAAGGGAAGTCGAAGCAAGTGGCGAGCTACTGGCTGCAGCGACAGCCGACCAGCTGTCGGCGGGGTCCGTGGCTTGCGCGTAGCAAGATTCGTGGGCAAGAAGCGTTGTGGATTCGCTTGGCTCCAAATCGCCCCAGATGTTGCCCGGCGCGGCCGCTGGTGCGTTGATTGTATCGAGGTCGAAGGCACCAGCAGCCCGACCACTAAAGATCTCACCGATGCTTCCAGGAGCGCGCCCAACTACATGTCCGTAGCTGCGGGTCCGCTCCAGCATTTGGTCGTGCTGTTGCTGGTTCGGGGCATATGGTGGCTAAGGGGCTGCAGTGATTGCAAAGCCCCAGAAACCCCGATTCCCACAGCGTCAATATTCAAAATCAAATATCATGAATCCGTCCAACTCCGCCCCCGGTCTGGCCATCTCGAACCGGGCGAGTACCGAATCGATGCGTTCACCTCGTCCGACCCTTACGTCGACAAGGGTTGTTCCTGATGTGATCCTCGAGGTTATCAAATTTGGTGCTGAGGGGGGGAAAAACATGTAAATAGCACCGTCGGTGCGTTGACCTTGTCGGATACACCGTAAATCAAAATCGAGGACAATACGCTCATAGCCAGGACCCCGGCTAGACCTCCAAGGCCTCGCTGCGACGCGGCAGCTCGTTGACGTGGAATCGCGGCTCCATGCGTTACGTTGAACAACGCGTTTCCTTCGCGAACGAATTCGCGGAAAAGGTACGTTACCAGCAGCAGGGTCCCAGTAGGGACCCCTGGTGCGCGTTTCGTCCACCCCCCGTTGCAGGCCCCTTATCGCTAGACCAAGAACAGCCTTACAATACCAGCGATGGTAACGCTGATATCGTGCATGGTTAATTGGTGTTGGTGGTGTCGTGGTCGTCGTGTTTGTGGGTTGGTGTGTCCATCAATTTGTCGTGGTGGTGGGCCGACGTGGCCGTCAGAGTTCGAATACGTGTAGAGTTCATGTTTGTAGATTCCGCCTGTCCACGCTGTGAGGAGATGGAATAGGATAGTGAATTACAGGTCGGGAAAATCAAGCCCGTACTGGCTGGCCGCCGTGGCGTACACGTGAAGGCCGACGTGGCATGCCAGCACAACTGGATGTACCACCATAGGAGTAGTCCACCATTCTGTGCCGCGGAATACTGGCATTCGAGTCAGAGCCAGCCACATGAAGATGAGGCCAGCTCCGCTACCAAGTCGAAGGGACATGGCAGGCCGTACCATACATTACGCCTTTGGCGTGTAATAGCATCCCATAGTTTAACCATGCAGTGGGTGTGAGTAGCTAGATATGAGATAAAGTATGGGATGTTGACGTCTCCTTGTTGTTTCGGTTACTCGTTTGCAATAGTACCTCGCTAACGGGATAGTCAAATAGAGCAGTGCCGTTTGAGATATTAACAGCGGCGGACGGAGGCACGATGCTCGCTATGCTGGCCTTTTGACCCCCGTTCAACATGAAAATCCATACGGGATGCTCGGTCTCTGTCGGGGCCTGCCCCGTCTGGACTTAGCTTCTCCTGCTAGCATGCTGGTTTGCCCGTGCAGAGTGAATTCACACGGAGTGCCGGGTCGCCGTCTGTGCCTACCCTGTCTGGAGCTAGTCTCTCCTGACCCCTGAGCCAGCGCTCGCAGGCACCGACCGGGGTTTCGGCCGCCGCACTTGACTTGTTTTGCCTCGTCGCCGCGCGCGCGGCCGCGACCGCTACCAAGTGTCGCTTGTCTGCGTCGTCTTCAGTCTGCGCACGGCCGGGGGGTCTGAATTGGACGGGGCTCCAGAAAATCGATCAAGCGTGGGGGTTCGAAGATAGTCCGTTCAGAATTGATCCCCGGATCCCTCCAAGGGTCCACGTGGTGTAATTTCTGACACCAGATCCGGTTTTGACGGTCCTGTGGGTCGAAAGCGGCCCCTGGGGGCCGAATCATATTCTAACAAACGACCCAGCGTCTCGAACCCACCACCTCAGTGCTTGGCCACCTCAGACTCCAATACGGTTCCCAACGACATCGTACGTGTGCGTCGTTCCCGTGTGCTGGTTGCGTACGTCGTCGATGGTCTGCGTCGTCGTGAGCCTGCGCTCAATTTCGTCATCCGTCTGCATCGACGACCCACTGCGTCATCGTCGTCGTCCCGCGCCGCAACTGTGGCCGTCACCGTCGCCGCCACCACTGCCGTCATCGTTTTCGTCGTCTTTCGCCCTCTGACTCTCTCCCGGAAAACCGGGCCCGCACCTCCCAAGAGCGCCCCTGTCCTCCAGGCCGCGTTCTGAACGGAAGCGCCCTGGAGATCCAAGCTGATGCCTCGCGACCAACCCAAGCCCGCTGAGGGACGAAGGGCGAAGAAAGACTTTGAATTAGACCCTTGACAAGCGCAAGGACAGATCGAACGGAACTGGCCTCGATGGGTTCTTATCGGCGGCGCACCCGGGGGGGGGGGAGACGGAACGGGCCTTTTCAGAACGCTCGGAATTCCCCTGGCCATCGACGAAGTGCCCTGAGCCTTCTACGAAGACGCAAAACACTTTTCACAAGGCGCGAGGGATCTGAAAAGCCCACTTCCCCCCTCGTTCGCCGCCGATCTTCACACGGCCAAAATGTGTGCCGATTGCCCAAAGGGGCCCCACGGGCCCCTGACTGGGAGAACCATCTCCCCCCAGCCTTTCGGCCAGGTGGCGCGCGGCGCCAAAGGGCCCCGCCACTCAGGCTCCTCCGCCGTCGCGGTGTGGAGGTGTTCGAGCCTGACGCTCCGGTACATTGTCTCGAGCGCGGCGTCTAAAGCCTTCGTGTCCTCCTGGAATTTGGCCGCCTGGGGCGGGGGATCGGCGCCAGACACGGGCGGCGGCGCGCGACGCGTTTGCCCCGCGTGAGAGACAGAAGGCGTGCAGCTGCACAGGGGGACCAGGAATGGAGGGGGCGGAGGTGGAAGACGAGCACAAGTGGCCAAATCCAGAATCCAGACACAATAACGTAGCACTTCGCAGTTGCGGATAAGAGTGAGGGGGCACCGGGGTCGTCGCCGAAGCAACGTGGGTGGGTCGCGAGCGGGTCGCGGGTGGGTCACGGGTGGGTCGAGGGTGGGTCGCGGGGTGGGTCGCGGGCGGGTCGCGGGCGAGGACGACGACAACAACGCAACAACAATCCGCACTGCCGAAGTACTTCAGCCACACGTCAAGGCGAGGTCGCGCCCGCGGGCACCACGGTGGGCGCAGGAGCATTCCCAGGCGAGGGGGGAGCTCCAGCCTTGGGGATCCCCCGTCTAATACTTCGAGGTCGCCCCACCCGCGGGGCCGAAGCCTTGGGGGGAGCGGCAGGGGCCCGCACTGGGGGTCCCCGCTGGGGGGTCCGACCGGCGGCGGCCGGCGGGACTGGAGGCGACGGGGCGGCCTGCACGCTGGGCGCGCCTCTCCGACCTCCGGGAGGTGGGGGCGAGGCGGCGGCACCTTTCCGCGCCCCATGACCCACCAGGGACGGCTCGCGCCCCTTCTAGAGGCCTCCTAGATGGGGTCGGAGCAGATGGGGTCGGAGGATCGCGCCGCATCGCCAATACATCGGCCATGCATCGGCCTTGCATCGGCGATGCATCGGCGATGCGCCAGCGATGTCGGCGACGCATCGGCCACGTCGGCGTGGAGACCATTGGCCCCCGCACCGAGCCGCATCGCCGATGCACCGCCGATGCATCGGCGATGCAAGGCCGATCCTCCGACCCCATCCAGTCCGACCCCATCTAGGAGGCCTAAACCTTCGCTGGCCGTGCCAGGGAAGGCACGTCCTCCGCCGGGGAAGCTGCGGGAGCCCTGGGCGCCAGCCTCTGGCCTCCCGAGGCAGGCCACGCCTGCTCGCTCCCCCCCCTGGTGGTAGCGCCAGAACTGTCCGTCTGGGTTGGAGCCGCAGGGGGCCCGGACTGTTCCGGACCTGCGCCTCCCAGGTCCAGGAGCGACACCTCCTCGGCCTGCGGGTTCTGGCTCCCGCCCAATGGCCCCACTCCCCCAGTCACGGGACCCCCTCCCCCCCCGAAGACTCCCGAGGAGGCCAAGGATGGCATTAATGGGGCCAAAATGGCGACACCCGGCATCGCCACCACGTGGGTTCAGGGGCGCGCGCGCATGCGCGCGGGCCCCTCCGCAAAAGCGCAGTTCCAGCCAATGCGGCTAGAGAGGGAGGAAGAGAGAGAGAGAGATGCGTGCCTGCTGCAGGAAATCCAAACGTTAAAACAGTGCACTAACACAAACTCTAGTCGGCGGGCACGAGGGCTCCCCTGGGGGGTCTGCGGACCTCACTGGGACCGCAGTCGTATGGATGAGGTCACGACTGGCTTCTGCTGAAAGCCCGTTGGGCCGTCTGGGACCCCTTCTGACCCCCCCGTGCTAGCTCAGCTGCCCTCTTCTTGCCCCGCCAAGACTTGCAGTCTGTTCGTCGCGGTCTTCACGCCTCGCCACCTGTTTGTAAAATTACCAGGTTCCAAACGCGAGAGACGGCGGCGTCAGCCCCTTCAGGGGCCTTCAGTTGGCTAGAGTCCGCCCAAGTCCGGACTCCCCTTACACTGGGCCCCAGCGCCATCCCGTCGTACGCACGCCTACAACGCAGGGCGGGGATTCGCACCAGCATGCCAGCAGAGGGCCGCTGCACCTCAGGAGCGCGTTGCCGAAAGAATCGTCGCGTCGGCGGCAAGGGCGACGGACTGAGAAAGTTCGCGGTTTGGGGCTCCGACTGTTTAGTTATGGATTGGCCGCATTGATGCAGCAACGTCTAATCCACACGCGGGAAGACGTACGGCTCGGATTTGAGGGACTTGGGTTGGCCTGGCGAGCCCGTCGTGAAAAGAGAAGACCCGGCCTGAAACTTGACGCGAGCTCCCGCTGCAAACATCCCACGGAAACTGGACTGCCAAAGCCCAAGACGGGCTCCTCAGAAAACGCTGGGAAGCCCGAGCTCCAGCGAACTCGTGCCTTACGCTCGTTAAAGGCTTAACGACTTCTGCCGTCCTTCGACTCGCGCTGGAGCGGCCGCGAAGTGCTCGAACTTTCCCTGGAGATCTCTGGATTTACCTGGATTTACCCAGATGTATCTAGATTTACCTGGATTGACCTGGATGTACCTCGATTTATCTGCATTTACCTGGGTTCATCTGGCTCGACTCTCACAAGTCGATTGGCGAAAAGTCGACAAGCCCTTAGGGATACGCTCCCCCCAGAAATGCCGACGGGCACTCCGCTGGAAAGGTGCAATCGACGCGCTGCCACCGGGAACGCAGAAACCTCGAACGAGGGGGCTCTCCTCTGCCCGCGGAGCGCCTCGGCCACCGCAGAGGCCCCCCGACCCCACGGCCCGAGAACACCCGGGAGCCCCTGCGGGGCCCAGCGCGGTCCGACGAGTGCCGAGGGGCACTCCGCTGAGGCACGGCCCCGGCGGGGGCCGGCGCACGGCTCCGCCAGGAAGCAGTCTGCGTCGTGCGCCCCCCCTCCCCGCCGGCGGCCAGGATGCGGCAGGAGCGGCAGGGGCAGGAGGCAAAGGGCGAGGAAGCGAAGCAGGAGAGGAATGGCACAGGGGAGGGGCAGGAGGAAGGGAAGAAGAACTGGGATCTAGGCGCGCTTGCCCCAGAACTTGCTCTACGCCGCCACCCTCAAAATCCGCATGGTGCCACGACACGTGTGAGGCGTGTGCCTGGAACGGGTGGGGAAATGCATGCGAGTGCCACTGGCGCCTTTGATGCAGCACCCTGTGGGACCACGAAACGTGTGAGGGGTGTGTCCAAATGGGCGGGGATAGGCATGCGAATCCCCTACCCTGGGGGCTTCGGTGGAGCTCTGTACGGGGCCACGAAATGCGTAAGGAGTGTGCCGACAACGGGTGGGGAAACGCATGCGACCCCCCCTCCCTGAGGGCTTCGGTGGAGCTACCTATGGGGGACACGAACCGCGCGAAGGGTGTGCCGAAATGGGTGACGAAACGCGTGCGAACCCCACCCTGAGGGCGTCGGTGGAGCTCCCAATAGGGCCACGAAACGTGCGACGGGTGTGCCGAAGAGGGTTGGAAAAGCATGCGACCTCCACCCTCCCTGACACTTCGGTGGGGCTCCCTACGGGGCCACCAAACGTGTGCGGAAAGTGCCGACATGTGCATGCGGAGGGCAGAGGCAGGGATGGGAGGGGGGAGGAGGGGGGAGGAGGGGGGAGGAGGGGGGAGGGGGAGGAGACGCGGGGCGCTTTCTCTTCAAAACTAAAACCCAACACCACGCGATGGTTGGGAATACAGGGGCACGAGCGCCCCAAGAGGGCCCCGAGAACCCAAGACAGCCCGAGAACCCAAGACAGCCCGAGATGGCCTCAAAGCGGCCCCAGGACAGTGCGGCCCCAAGAATCCACCAAGAAAATCTCGAGAATCCTTGCGCTCGAGAAGGCCCGCTTCGAGCTGCCCAGCCGCCATCGCCAGGGGGTCCTTCTCCAGGGGCGAGAACTCCCCTTCCGGGCTCAAATCCCCAGTGTTGGCGACGATGGCACGTGTCCTTCGGCGGCCATTGGCAAGACATCACGCCTGCTGAAGAATCAAGCGAATTCTGGCTTCCTCCCAGCACTAATACCCCATACTCTTCCTATGACATGTTATCGACGCCCAATTAGCAACAGTCGTGCCGCCTTACTTCAATACTCGTCCCACTCCTTCTCGGCAGCCCTGACGGTCCTAAACAGAAGTGACGGGTGCCTTTCTCATGGGCCAAAGCTGGGGAAATTGGCAACAAGGCTAGGCATTCGCAGACATGGCATCAATGAGAAGAGCTTGATAGACACGGTTCGCTGCGAAAGCACAGGCGGAAAAAGATTCTGCGCCCCCAAAAGATTCGCGTGCAACACAATGTCGGCAGGCGTGGTCGCCAACAAAAGGATATCACCACTCTCGGAAATGTCACAGCTAATGGGGCAACCATAGGGGCCAGAACTTCAGCCCAATGCTCACGCGCACATCATTGTCCGACCTTTTTCTGGGCGCATCTCCCACAGACACAGCACAGACTAAAAACGCAAGCCCCGACGAAGAAGATGATACGTCTGTCTCCTGCCTGTTGCTTCCATGTCCTGCTCTCTGAAATTCGATCAGCCATCCAAAGAGAACGGCCATTGACGAAAGCCTCTGGGCACGTTGGATTTGGTCGGATGATGGTCCAAGTTCGGATCAGATTCCCTTCTCTTGGCATCTCGAGCTGGATCTAGTTCGCCAGACTGAAAGAACCATCCGCGGGGCGCTTGGAGAGCCCACACACACACACACGCACACACACACACACGCACACGCACGCACACACACACACACACACACACACACACACACACACACACACACACACACACACACACACACGTCGCGGCGTCGCTCACAGCGGCGCGGCGTAGAGGAGGTCGAGCGAGAGCGAGACACGCGAAGCTCAGCCCACACACGCACGCACGCACGCACGCACGCACGCACGCACGCACGCACGCACGCACGCACGCACGCACACACACACACACACACACACACACACACACACACACTTCGTGCTCAGCGGGGTGCGGGCGCGCGCGCGCGCTCGCGCGCGGCGACGCGCCGGCAAGTCGACGGCGCGGGCGAGCGGTTCTCTTCGCTAGAACGGGGTGCGCGCGCTGCAGGGCCGCCGGCGCGGGCCTTCGAGCCCGCAGCCCCAGGGCCCCCCGCCCCGCTGAGCCCGCAGCTCCGGCCCCCCCGCGGGGCGGGCCAGGCTGGGGCCCGCGACCTGGGGCGGAGATGCCCTCCCCGGACACGAGGCCTGCCCTGATCTTGTCGCGGGTGGACGCGGCGCCAGGGTCGGCGGCGGCGCCGGGGGCGCGGAGTTCCAGCTCGGGGGAAGTCAGGTCCTGGACCCCCTGCGAGGCGAGGAATGTGAGGAGGCGGTGCCGTTCATATCTGTTTGGATGTCTGCCTGGGCCCTGAACCGGCCGGGGCTGGCTGGTCCCTGGGAAGGAGGTCCATTGCTCGTCTAGGCAGTCCTGTGCGTCAAAGGAGCGCCCCGTCTGCTTCATGGGGCGTGTTGCCGGGCGAGTCGAAACGGCCCGTCTTCCATCCCGCGGGCATCCGTTGGGAATCTCGTCGCTTGGGATCGATGGCCCGCATGCGATGGTAAGAAAAGACCCTGCGGTCGCCCTGCGCGCGCCCGGGGGGCCCCTGGGGGCGTGGCGCGGTCCGTCTGGGCGCGGTCGCCGCGGCGGCAGGGCGTCGGCCCACTGCCGCCGGCCTCTGTCGACGTTGTCGTCTGGCGCCGGGGCGTGCCGGGCCGTCGCGCGGGCGATGGTGTGGTCTGCCTTTCCTGCCTCTGTGTCCGGGTTGATCGGCGCGCTGAGCTGGAAGCGCCCGCAGTCCGATCTGGTAGACGGGAACGCAGGGGCTGCATCCTGCGTGTCCCCCGCTGGGCTCGGCTTGGGACCCTCTGTCTGCGTCGGCGTCGGGCAGGGTCGGGTCGGACTTTGGAGGCGCTGCTCCCCGGGCGCGATTGCGCTGCCATCCAACGTCCGGGGGCGGGGCGTGGTCGGCGGTGTCTGACCAGCGACTGCGCCATCTGCCTCTGCGCCCCTCCCCCCCTCCTGCCGGGGGCAGGGGGGCCGGCGGCCTTGTCGCGTGATCGGGTGCCGCGGCGCCCGCGGCCCTCCCGCGCCGTCAGCGCTGTCGCGATCGGGGAGTCTCTGAAGTGATTGGTCCCTGCTGGCCTGGTTTGGGTCAAGGGCCGGAATATTCTGGGAGACTCCGAGTGGGTCCGCGCGAGCCTGGGCCATCCTGTCCTGGGCCGGGCGATGCCCCGCGCGGAGGTGACAGGCTTGTCCAGCAGGGGTTCCATGCAGGGAGAGGTTGTGGCGGGGCATCTGGGCATACTTTGGTGCCGCCCCTGGCTAATACATGCGCGACGTCGGTGGGTTGTGCGTTCCAGACGTCGACCAAGCAATGCTCACAGAACCAGGTGGCGTTCCATTTCATGCCCGGGAAAGCGGCGACCCAGTCAACGAATGGGGGAGGTCCTGGGCGGGTGAATCTGAATCGGCTGCGCCAGGACGGAAGATGAACATACCCAGCGGTCTTTGCCCGCACTTCCACTCGCGCATCGGCGTGGTGCCAGGGCACCGATCGCATTTGCTCTTCCACCCCTGCACGTCTGCCTTGCCGCCGAACCTGGCGTCTTCGGTGCAATGGGTTGGCACGGCGGCGCATGCCGTGGCTAGGTCGCGCGCGAATTCTTGGGGCAGCAGGAGCTGCCAGAGTGGCGTCTGGGCGCTAGGGGGAGCGACCTGAGGCGCTGCTGGCAGCTGCTTTAGCTCCTGGGGTTCGGTTGTAGTCGCATGCTGCGGGTTTCGGTCGCGAAGGAAACTGGCAAATGTCATCCCGCTCGGGATGGGTCGTCCATTGTCTTCCAGGGTGGACTTCCAGCAAGAGACGCATAACCACCGGGAGTCGATTCTCCGCGTATTCAGTTACAGGCGGTTTTGCAGACATCTGCGCTGACCCAGGCACGTCCTTCAGACCTGCGGGGGTCGAAGGGACCCTTCGAGCACTCATCGCAGTAAACCTCGGGTGGCTGCGCAGCTGGTTCGAACCTGTTACCTTCTGTCTGCAACTTCGCTGGGATGAGCACGACTCCAGGAGAGGCCCCGGCGGGGGGTGGGTCGTGCAGTTCGCGCCCGCTGCTGGTCTGCCCATTGCCGATGTACTGGATCGCTGTCCAGGTCGGCGTGGTTGGGAAGAGTCCCACGTCAGAGCCAGTCGGAATTGTGAGAGTGCGCAGACATCGAACGTGTGCACGCTGAGCACTGACAGGTCGGCCGCGGTGCTGAGGTGGCCGAAGACTGACAGGGCGGGCGTCAAGGGAAAGTCAACGGTGAAGCTCTGATGAAAGCATCCATCGATGTGCCCGTGTAGCCTCCGGAAGTCCTGCCCTGTGATGCCGTGCGCGGGGTGCACACACAACCACCACCACCACCAACAACAACACCACAACCACCACCACCACCACCAATACCAACACCACCACCAACAACAACAATCATTTTAAGACTGTTCGCTCTTACCTGCTCGAGTGTCCGTTAACGCGTATTTCCCAAACACTCTATACCCGCCCTCTAAGTCTACGATCGAGCCCCAATTGGGGGTATACCTTTCTTCCCTGTAGGCCGGGCCCTGGCAAGCGGCGGGGCGGCCGCGGACCGTCCGCCTGGCCAGCGACAGCGCTGATCGGCGGCAACCCGACCCGAGGAGGGACGGACAGGGGACCGACCACGACGACGACGACGACGACGTCGACGACGACGACGGAGACGATGACGACGAGCGAAAGCGAGAGCGAGAGAGAATGACAGCAGGGCCACGAAGGGCACGAAAAAGGCCACGAAGGGCGACAGCGGGGACACGAAGGGAATGCGTATGGGGCCACGCCGAGCGCGAACGAGCGGGGGCCACGAAGGGCGGATAATGCGGGGCCACAGAAGGCAACGACGGGGCCAATGAGGGCAGCAACTGGGCCACATAGGATAGCGAGGGGGCCACTCAGGGCGACAGCGGGGCCACGAAGGGCATGGGCATGCACATGGAGCCACGACGGGCGCGAACGAGCGGGGGCCACGAAGGGCATACGTATATTGGGCCGCGGAGGGCAAGGACGGGGCCACTGAGGGCAGCAACGGGGCCACGCAGGGAAACGAGCGGGCCACGAACAGCGACAGCGGGGCCACGAAGGGCATGCATATGGGGCCACGACGGGCGCGAATGAGCGGGGGCCACGAAGGGGATACATATATGGGGCCACGAAAGGGCAACGAGGGAGCCACGATAGGCTGCAACGGGGCCACGAAGGGCAGCGAGGGGGCCACGAGAGGCTGCAACGGGGCCACGAAGGGCAGCGAGGGGGCCACGAAGGGCTGCAACGGGGCCACGAAGGGCAGCGAGGGGGCCACGAGAGGCTGCAACGGGGCCACGAAGGGCAGCGAGGGGGCCACGAAGGGCTGCAACGGGGCCACGAAGGGAAGCGAGATCCCGATTCCTAAATAATCTGTGAACGGAGTCCTAAGCGTAAGCGCGACTCCTGCGTGCCTGAGTGTCGGGATTGCTACGCTTGAGTAAATTGCGAGGGGCGCTACTCTTGAGTAAATTGCAAGCAAGTCTTTAGCGAGAGCGCGACTCCAGAGCGCCGAGAAAGCGATTGCTGGATAAATTATAAGGAAGTCCCAAGCGAAAGCGCGATTCCTGAATACAATGCGAGGAAGCCTCGGGCGGGAACGGGGGTCCTGGCTAAATTGTGAGCAAGTCTCAGGCGGGAGCCGTTGTCGTTGTAACCAGGGGACCACCAAGGTGCGAGCGCTGGGAGGGGCACTTCAATAGAAAAATACAATCTGCACCGAAGGGGGGGGACCAACAATAAATATGATTCAGCAGTGGGGGTGCAACGACAACAGCAACAACGACAACAACAACAACAACAACAACAACAACAACAACAACAACACCAACAACAACAACAACAACAGCATCACCAACACTACCACACATACACACACCAACACACGTCATATACGGGCAGTCCCAGCGGCAGGGGTCATGGTCCTCGTGCGAACCGAAGACACGCTGGGCTGGGACCCCGCGGCGGCTGCAGCCGCCTGAACGCGCAGCGCCGGTCCCTACGGCCTTCGTCCTCTTCCTCAACCTCGTCCTCGTCCTCCATCTTCTCCTCCTCCCTCCTTTTCTTCCTCATCCCTTCTTTTTCTCCTCCTCCCTTCTGGCGGGTCCAACGCCCCACCGCAAACTGCAGGTTCACGGCGGGGTGCCCCTCATCATTCCGAAAGAAACCTTGCGTTCGGAGAAAAACGTTGAGTTCGTTGCCCTGGCCCACAGTTTGTGAGTCATTCGGCCCCGTGCACACAGACTGCTGTCATGCCTTTGTCCGCCGCTGCCTCCTTCGCCTCCCTCCTCCTCCCTGCCTTCCTCGCAAGATGGCCACAAATGTCGCCAGGACGGCTCAAGAAGCGATGAGCCGAATTTGTCGGCACTTTCTCGGATGTCCAGCTCTCCCTAACAAAAGCCACGCGGGCCCAGGCTCTTGCACAGATGTGAGGATTTGAAGACTGTGGCCGTGAGGAACCTTGGAAGCTGGGGGGACTGGTCCAGGAAGCCCGGGGATGTGGGGGGATGCGCGAGGGAGGGCCTGGGGAGCCCGGGGTGCCTGGGGTGGCCACGGCCCCGTACCGAGCGGCAGTGGAGGGGTCGGGGCGGATGGAGTTGGTGATCGGGGGCCTGGGGGTGGGGGCGGCGGTGGCGTGCCGTGCAGCAAGAAAACGGTCGGGGAGGAGGGGTTTGGGGAGCTGGGGAACCTGGGTTGGGGGCCGCGGCGCCGTGTCACGCAACAACGCAGGGGGTCGGAGATCCAGAGAAACGCTGCAAGAGAATGACGCCGTAGGCCCCGCGCCCGCTGCCGCCGCCCCCTGTCAGTGCGTCTTTCACTGCCCGAATTCACCAAACAAAGCAAGCACGAACGATGTTCCCCTAGTGGGCGCCCGATTGACCTAAGATACATTGAGATACCCTCAGACGTCCTAAGATGAGAGAGAACGCGTTTCGTAGACGTTTGCTGGGAAAACACATGTCAGCCAGCGTGGGCCCCAACCAGTAGGTTATTGCAGTCTACGCGGTGCAACATGTGTGGCGCAAAGTATGCGGTGCAGCTTATGGAATGCAATGTATGCGGTGTAATCCATGTGGTGCACTCTACGTGGTGTAATCTACGCGGTGCAGCCTATGCAGCGCATTCTGTGCGGTGCTATCTGCGTGGTGCGATGTATGCTGTGTACCCTACGCGATGCAATCTACGCGGTGCAATCGGTGTGCATGGTCTGTGCTGTGTAGTCTACGCGGCTACGCGGTCCGCTGTATGCGTATAACGTATGCGGCGCAATCTACGTGGTGCAAACTATGTGGGCGGCGACGGGGCGGCGACGGGGCGGCGACGGGGCGGCGGCGAGGCGACGACGGGGCGGCGACGGGGCGGCACCGACCAGCAAAAAGCTGGGACCCGGACCCGGGCGACGGGCGGCGACGAGGCGGCGGCGGGCGGCACCGCCCCGAAAAGCGGGGACGAGTCCCCGTCCCCAGATGGTTGAGACACATGAGATCCCCTAAGTGTAAGCACTGTTTGTGGGAGAGTATGTCAAGCGAAAGAACGTAAGGTCGAGTGAAGAAAACGCGGGTGAAGTAAACTAGACTAGAGCGAAGGTAAGGCCATCGAAGGTCATGTAAAGTAAAGCAGAGTAGAATAGAAGAAGGGGACATAAGGTAAAGTAAAGTGACGTTAGGTAAAGCAAACTAAATCAAAACAAAGTACCGCAACGCAAAGCAAAGTCGAGTAGCTTGACGTACATTCAAGCAAATGAAGGCCAAGTAAAATGAAGTGAAGTCATGAAAGGTAAGGGCAAACATATGGAAAACAATGAAGTAAGCAACACAACAAACAACAAAAAATAAACAAACTGTAAATCAATGCAAGTTCATGTAAGGTAAGGCGAAGTAAAGCACAGTAAGGTATAGTAAAGGGAAGGGAAATAAGGTAAGGTAAGGTACGGTAAGGTAAGGTATCGTAGCGCTGAGTAGCGTAGAATAAGCAAAATAAAGCAGAGTAGCGTAAAGTAAAATGCGGCAAAGTAAGGTAAGGTAGTATAAATACAAGCACAGGAAAGCAAAGTGAAGCAACGCTTTGCATACCAAACCAAATAATCCAACGTATATAAGGTGGGGTAAGATAAGGTAAGGTAACCTATTGCAAAGCAAAGCGACGCAAAACAAAGGTACGGTAAAGCAAAGCAAAGCAAAGCAACGCAACATAACGTAAAGCAAAGCAAAATAAATCACAAACAAGCAAAGCAAAACAAAGTAAAGCAAAGCCAAGCAGGGCGGCGACGGTGCGGCGGCGACGGTGCGGCGGCGGCGACGGCGGCGACGGACGGCACCGACGGCGACGGCCAGCCCTGGTCCCGAGACGGGCGGCCGCGACGGACGGCGACGGGCGGCGCCGCCCGCAAAAGCCAGCCCTGTCCCGAGATGGTTAAGACAAGAAAAATCTCCTAAATGCAAACACTGTTTGGGGAAACTTGACACATCGGAATGCGGGGGGGCCCAAAACATTGAGCACCCTGAAGAAGGGGGGGGGCCCTCTGTGGAAACCGGCCTCCATAATAACCGGGGGGTCCCCCCTCCCCAAAGGGAGGGGGTTCGAACCAGCGGGGGGGCTCCACCCCCTGCCGTGTCCAAGGGGGGGGGGAGCGAATCAGGGGGGGAGGCAGGAGGCCCCCCCTGAGTTGCGAAGGGGGGAGGGGTTCGAACGGGAGGGGGGGCTCTCCCCTCACAGGTCCACAAAGGGGGGAGGTCTTGAACCAGGGGGGTTTTTCCTCCAAAATTGCAAGGGGGTTCGAACCGAGGGGGGTGGCCCCCCTGATTGCAAAAGGGGGGTGAACTCGAACCGGGCCGCCCTCCCCCACTTCACTGTGCGCGTCGTCGTCGTCATCGTCGCCGCCGTCGCCGCCGTCGTCGTGGACGTCGTCGTCGCCGTCGCCGTCGCCGTTACGGTCGTCGCGGTCGCCGTCGCCGTCGCCGTCGCCGTGGGCCGTCGCCGCCGCCGTCGCCGTCGCCGTCGCCGCCGTCGCCGTCGTCGTATCCGTCGTCGTCGTCGTCGTCGTCGTCGTCGCCGTCGCAATCGCCGTTGCCGTGGCCGTTGCCGTTGCCGTCGCCGTCGCCGTCAACGTCGCCGTCGCCGTCGCCGTCGTCGCCGCCGTCCCTCGTCGCCCTCGTCGTCGTGGTCGTCGCCCTCGTTGTCGTCGTCGTCGACGCCGTCGCCGTCGCCGTCGCCGTCGCCGTCGCAGTTGCCGTCGCCGTCGCCGACGCCGTCGCACTCGCCATCGCCATCGCCGTCGCCGCTTTTGCCTTTGCCGTCGCCGTCGCCGCCGTCGCCGTCGCCGTTGCCGTCGCCGTCGCGACCGTCAGCGCCGTCGTCGTCGTCGTCGTCGTCGTCGTCGTCGTCGTCGTGGTCGTCGCGGTCGTCGTCGTCGTCGTCGTCGATCGTCATCATCATCATCATCATCATCATCATCATCATCATCATCATCATCATCATCATCATCATCATCATCATCATCATCATCATCATCATCATCATCATCATCATCGGCGTCGTTGCCCGACGGCGCCGGCGCCGGCGCTCGCCGTCGTCGGTTGCAGGGGGGGGTCCCCCACGTCGTCGGTGCCCGGCGGCGCCAGCGCTGGCGCTTGCACTCGCCGTCGTCGGTTGCACGTCCCCCCTTGCAACCCGGAAGGGGGCCGCCCCCCTGGTCCGACCCCCCCCCTCCTGCAACTCGAAGGGGTGGGCACCCCCCTGGTTCGACCCCCCTCCCTGGATAGAGAGGGGGGGGGCCCCTGTTTCGAACCACCCCTTTGGACAGAGGGAACCGCAGGTTCGAGACCCCCCCTTTGAACAGGTGAGGGAAGGCCCCCCTCCCAGTTCGAATCCCTGGGGGGGGTCGGTCCAAGACTGCACAGCATAGCTGCGTTATCATATTTTCCTGAGGCACGAGTTGGACTGTCCTCGTGTCCCTGCGAACTCTCTGCATTGAGTTATGCAAAAATCAAATATTGTTTCAAGGGCCCAAAGCCCAGAGTTCCAGGCGCTCCCGGGCGCTCCTGGGCGCTCTCGCACGCTCTTGGGCGCTCTTGGGGGGTCCCCGCATGATTTTTCGAGAGGTCCAAAACGCGTTGTCTGGGACATGCATGTCCAACATGGTTTCAGATGGTCCCAGGGACCGTCCTGGAGCCCTCTTGGGCGCTTTGGGCCGTCTTGGAAGCCATGGTGAGGGGCCCGAGAGGCCCAAGTCTCCAACATCAATTAGCTTGTGCATGGTTTTGGAGTACCGCCTTGTCTTTCAGAGACTCCAAGACGGCCTAAGAGGCGCCAACGATCGCCCCAACACGGCCTCAGAGCCTCCAAGAGGGACCCAAGAGGCCCCCAAGACGGCCCCAAGAGCGGCCGAAAAAGGAGAACACGAGCTGACAATTTGAGCCCTCCGCTCCAATACGGCCTCGAGATCCCCCCCCACAAGCCCCCAAGGTGCACCAACGAGGTCTAAAGACGCCCCCAAGAAACCCCGAAAGGCCCAAATCAGGTCCCAAGAAGCCCCCACGACGGCCCCCAGACGGTTCCAAAAACGCCCAAGATGGCCTCTAAGACGCCCCAAGAGAACCAATCCGCGATACATGCAGAATGTTCCCAACACGACCCAAGATGTAGCCAAGACGGGCCAAGGTGACCACCAGATGGCCCAAAACAACCCAAGAAGACCAAAGAGGGCCCCCCGAGGGCCCAAGAGGCCTCCAGGAGGCAATCCAGGAAGGCCCGAAGAGGCCAAACTCATTGATATTCCTTTGGTGTTTGAAATATGTTCACGTTTGCGTCTTTTCGGCCGTCCGACAATCCAAGACAGGCCAAAAGGCCCCTGGCGGGGCCAATGTCCCGCTCGTCCTCTGCTGTTTAGGGTATCGTTGGGGGCACAGCTTTGCTGTGCAATCTAGTGCATGTAACACAAATTGTCTTGTATGCGGCCTGAGCGGCTTGGCCCCGTTT